GCTCATGGCCCCATGGCCTCCTGACACCCAGCCTCCAGATCCCCCCATGGGTGCAGGGCTGTGGGGTGCCTGTGGCAGGGGTCCCTGTGCCATGTGGGAGTGAGCCTGGAACCCACAGTCTCCACACAGAGGGATGGAGCCACAGCTGGTGGCTTCTCCCCCAGGAGCTTCTTTGTGTTGTGCCTTCAGCAAACCCTCCCTGTGCACCCAACACTCCCACAGCACCAGGACTGAGGGGTACATGGGTGCTCGGATTGGGCCACTCCAGCCTGTCCAGCACAGCCTTTGCAGCCCCCCTGGGGGCCAGCACCCTGGAGGGGATGGGGTGTGCTGGGAGTTGTACCTTTTCCTCTCTGCAGACAGTCACGATGCTTAAGTGGCTTGTTTTTCATTAGGGGAAGGCTGTTGCTAGGCCACCCTGGTCCCCGGCATTGGTTGGGAAGGGGCTTTGCAGCCAATCCAGGAGGCTGTGCTGGCAGTTCCCACACGCACACACATGCACATGCAAGCACATGCACACACGTGCACACACACACACACATACCCCTACTGCAGCCAAAGCACTACATGGCTGCCACGTGTGCCTATTAATTTTCACATCACACCTATTCCCTTCTTCTGGCCAAGCAGGTTATTAAGGCTCCTGAGATTTTAATTTACAGCCATCTGTGAGTTTTCTCCCTTCCAATTCATGCTTGAGGTGGAGAGGGATGGTGGTGGTTGGGGAGTATAGATAGGGCAAAGGTGCAGGGAAGCCAGTTCCTCCCTCTGCTGTGACTGATTTGGTCTCTGGTGAGTCACCCAAGCAGTCTCTGCTTTCTGCCTGAAAATGGGGCAAATCATCCACCACAGCAAAAGGAGAGACCACCCCATGTTAGGGGCTTGCTCCAGGCTTCTATTAAGTACCAGCATTGCTCCCCCCTGAGACATTTGAGGCTTTATGTGGCACTTCAACCACCCATGTTGTGATAACCAGAGCCAGCATCAAAGCAAACCAGGTGTTGGATCAGGGGATGCTGCTCCCAGCTGTGGTCCCCGTGCCAACAGCCTCAGCAGCTGGGAAAAGACCTAGATCATGGTCAGGCATTAGCAATGTGGGGTGGGAGGGATGGACACATCCCTGGCTCAGGGTCTCCTGGTACAGCTGCTATTCCACTATGGTGCCATTTCAAGCACCCTACGGGTGTCCTACACCCACTCAGCAGAGCCCTGGGATATGAGCAGGATGGGGACACTCATCTTTTATAGCTGCACATCTCTCACCATGTGGGATAGGAATAGACACTGAGAATGTGTAGAAAACTATGGGTAATCCAAGTAAAACTCAGTTCCTGAGTGTCCCCCATGGAAACTTCCATGTAGCAGGAGGGCAGGAAGGGGGGGGAAGCTCACTGAAAGCAAAGCATTGAATTGCATCTGCAGCTCAAGGAGAAGCTGTTGCTAGACAGAAGTAAAAGCCGTCGCCATCAGCTCCCATTGGCTCAGCCCCACTCCAATAACGGGCTTATCAGTTACCTGCTCTTGCAGCTGGCTGGAAAGAAACTCATTTGCCAGTGTTTTCCCTCTGATAAAAAAGCCCATTGCTGGACTTGCGTGTTTGAGTTAATCATTACTCAGGGTCTTTGAGACAATGGCAGAGTTTTCTGCAGATTCTTCAATTATCACGAAATTCAGGAGAAATGGGGAGCCAGCCCAGCTCTCCTTTGCCCACCTAAAGATGCTCAGCCTGCCCAAAGATGCTCACTCTCCCAGCAGGAGCACCAGCAGGTGAATCAGAGCAGTCTGGCTGCTCTCAGCCCTAGCAACTCCCTGGCATGTAGGTGAATATTCACAAACACCTGTGAAAATCCTGATTAGCTATTGAAGGGTTCACCAGGTGCAAACAGGATAAAAGTTGATAACCAGATAACATTGCTTTGTTGGCAGGGAGCATGTTGCCATCACCCCCACAGTCCATGATGGGCTTTGTTTCTCAGCAACCCTGCCTTGGGGGGCTTGAGGGCTGCAGAGTGCAATGTGGGATTTTTTCCCAGCTTTTCAAAGCTGATGCAAATGGGGATTGACCCCACAAATTTGTTTCTCAGCTTCCCCAAGAGCTGGAGATCACAGCACAGTAGCAAAGCCTGCAGGACATATGGGCACTGAAGGGCACCCGAGCTTTGGCTGTGCTGCTGCCTTCAAGTTTGCCCCCAAAGCAAGGGGGTATTTCAGCAGCGGGGTTAAAGCAGTGTGGTGATGACGGGGACACAACCTCAGAGGCAGCCTGGGACTTTTCTAGCACCTCATGCCATCTTGCAAGCCCTGGGTTATGCTGCCAGGAGTGCATGTGGCAGCCATGCAGGCAGGCTGGGCAGCTTTGCTCTGGGCAGGCAAGGAAAAAGCTGCCCTGGGCCACAGGTGATGAGGGCTTAGAGAAAAATCTGTCCCTTGCCTGGAGCCCAGCCCAGGCTTACTTTTGGTAGTGGGTCTCACTGAAGTGTTTGGATGGTCAAGACTTGTTGAAGAAGAAATGTTTTCTGCTTTTTTCCTTACTTATGCCTTCCACTCACTGCTGGCTGACAGCAGGGCAGGCTGAGTCACAGGCTGATAAAACCTCGTGCCCTTCCACCTCCTTTTGCAGCTTTCTCCAGCCTCACCCCAACACACCTGAGCTATTACATGGCTTGGGGCAAGTCAGATCTAAGGGATGGTGAGAGACCGTGGGCTGGGGGGACTACAAGAGAGGTCTCAGGTAGACAAATAAGCCAGGAGCCATAGGATGCCCCGTGCAAGCTCCCCACATACCCCCTGAGGATGCAGTTGTATGGCCCAGGTTATGTGGCCATGAGCAAAGGATCCCTCTGCTGTGCCTCTCCTCCAGTCCTGCTTTCCCAGGAGCAGAAGCCAGTGCTGCTCTTTCAGCTTTGGGATGCCACCATCTTCTGACAGTGGGTCTGCTGACCCTTCCTACAGCATTCCTTCCTTTCTGCCAACCTGGAAAAGGTGGCAACAGCAGAAAGGAGGAAACAGAGAAGAGCCTGTGTGAGTTCTTCTCCTCTGCACCCCCCTTGGTGTCTCCATGGGGTTCAGGTCCATCCTGTACCACACCAGGTCCCACTGATGCTGCACAGCTGCAACCTGAAGCTCACACAGCTTGCTGGCTGCATTTTACAGCTTGCTGCATCAGGAACACACCTGGGACAAACTGGCAAAAGCAGCACTTGAAGACCCACCTTGAGGCTGTATTTCCTACCAGGTCTGGTGCAGAGTGCCTAAACCATGAGCTCACAGTCACTATGAAGGGTGGCTGTGCTCAGACCACCAGGCAGGCAGGGCTTTTTGAACACGTCTGATGCGTTTCAAAGCATTTCTGAGCTGTCCCCAGCTTCCTCTGCTGGGCAGGGAGGAGTTAAGATGGGAAGTGCAAGATGCAATGTCTTGTAATGGCACTGCTGTGTGCGTCAGGTGTGCCTGCGTCACCCGCTGCCTTGGCTGCTTCCCAAGGCTGGGGCTGAGCTCTCCTCCAGGAAAGGCCCAGGACCTGTCGAGCCTGGCTATGGGTCATGGGCTCCATTCCACTGCTACCCACACTGTGAACAGCCAGGCTTCCAGAAGCCCCCAGAGTGCTGGCAGCCCTCCAGTCCTCCCCTACCTCACAGCCCCAACAGTGGGACCTCTGTGGTAAAAGGGGTGGCCTCCGCCTTGAGGTACCCAGCAAAAAAATCCTGGTTTTCTATAATCATGGCTATTAGTTCCCTGGGGAGGCAACTGCCCGTGTCCAGTCCCAAACTCCACTCCAGTGCCCACACACCTTGCTGGCTCCATCTGTGCAGCCACAGGTACCTACACCCCTCACCCATGAAGCAGCAGCCTGTGGGCAGAGCCACTCCAGGTGGGCATCACCCCATCCCACCACTGTCAGAGAGCCCACTCTGCAGTTCAGCATCATTCCCACCTGGCAGAGCAGGCATGAATCTTGCTTCCACACCCTGTGAACAGGATTTTTTACTTGCCTGGTAGACAAATCCCAAGGGTGCTTCTTAGCACAGGAAGTTCCCTAAGCTGGGGCAGCACAGCAGGAGGGTGACACAGCAGGACACTTTCTCTTGCACTGGGCTTTCTTCAAGAAGGCAGCAGTGCTGGGCTCTGACTGAGCACATCCCCTGCCTTCACAGGGATGTCCCAAGAGCAGAGGGGACCAGCCCATAACCCAAGGAGCTGTTTACTCCACCCACCATCAGGCCACTTAAAGCACCTTCTCTAGTTGCAGGTGGGTTTTAAGCCCTGGGGCACAGCAGGATAAACAGGCAGCCATTTTCCTACCTCATCCCTGCCACCTCACCTCACTCCTGGAGAGCTGCCAGATCAGATCATGTAGCACATACACGTGGGTTTAACAAGACCAATTTTTAATTCAGAATTAGGCAATTATGTGAATAGTCTATTTAAAAGTGCATCCTATATTCTTATCCAGGCTGGACACTGATTAGACCCAGACTTTCTTTTCGGGCTTCACTGTGCAAAAAAAGTGAGGAGGAAACTGGTTGTTTAACTGGCCCTGGATGGTTTGCAGCCTTTGGGCATCAGCAAGAGACCTCAGTCCTCCACAGGAAAGCTGCCTACTTGTCCACAATGGGGGTATCCCCTTCCAGAGGGCATGGGAGATGCCTGGCAGCTCCATCTCCCCACCATGGCCACTGCATGCCCACAGGAGCTCCTACAGGATGACACCAGGACCCTGCTCATCCCCAAGCACCAAGTGACACATGAACAGGGCACAGCCACAGCGCTTGTTTCTGTGACAGCAACAGGCTGCAGACAGGGCTTTCAGGACATTGCCACTGTTCAGGTGTCACCATTTCTCTGTTCTCAAGTCCACAGACTGGTCTGCTGCAGGGCTGGTTGCAGTGCAGTGCCCATGAAGCACAAGCCCCAGGAAAGGAGGACAACAGCCACCTCCACTTTTAATAGCTGAAGGCACCAGGATGGCCCTAAACATGTGGTGGAGATGCTGTCCCCCATCACAGGTTGCTTGCCATCAGGTCTGTGGGCCAGTATTGGTCATCCATGTACTGGTTGCTGTCTGCTGTGGGGTCTGTTGCGGGGCTGGGGGGTCGGGGGGGCAGGCTACGGGCCAGCTCTGTCTCCCACTGCACCTCCACCAGTCTGTACAGCTCCATGGCCGTCTGAGCGTCCTCCACTGATGAGTGTCCTCTGCAGCCAACCTGAGCAATGGGGGGAAAACCCTGTTAGATAAAGGGGGTGGCAAAAATCCCACAGGCCATGTTGTCTGCTTGCTGGGAAGGACACAAGTGCTGGAGGTTTTGGACACGGCAAAGGTTTAGTGCAGCCCCGGAGATACAGGTATTTCCTGAGCACTTTCTGGAGGGCACAGGTCCTGTCTCTGCTTTACTGAGTCGCTTAATGGTCAGTTTGGGAGGTCCTGGGCTCTCCCAGTTTGATCATAGTCACGAGTACAGGATTAATAAGGTTGATCTCCATCTCATAGAGAGCACTCATGGAGATGGGTGGACCAGGCTGACCACACAGGTTCCTAGTAAATCCAGCAGAGACTCCCTGTATGAAGGTTCCTGTGCTTACCTGGATCTTCTTCTGGAGCAAGTGCCTGGCCAAGCTCTTGAGTGAGACACTGGCCCTGCTGGGCAGTCCTGCCCTCTCGTTCAGCACAGGGATCCGGCTGGTGTCTCGAGTCCTGTCTTTCGGGTGGAAGTACTTGAGGGCTTGGAAGTCATTGTGGATGGCATGTCCTACCACAATCTTGTCTTTCAAGATCTTCAGGATCTGGAAGCGTCAGAAAGGGTTAGACAGGCAGTACAGCAATAGAAGCAATTAAGCATAAAATCAACCATTTTGTGTTAAGTTCCCTCAGTTACAGTTTATGTTTGTAGAATGGTGCAGTAACAAGCTTTGGAGGCTCCCTGCCAAGTTCTTCTGTCTCTGCCTCAGAGCAGCTCAGCACGGGCCACCATCTATCCCCATTTGTAGCCATCAGACAACACAGAACTTTATTCTTTTTTAAAATGTCTCCATCTCCTCACCTCTGCCCGGGCAGCCTTGAACGGAATCGCGTTCTTCATGTGCTGCCTGGTGACACCGCTCCAGCGTGTCCTGTAGTCCACGATGGGGAGCTCAGGCTGAACATACTTGTCGTAGATGACATCCCCCTCGTAGTTCACCACCGAGCACCGCGCCAGCTCGCTCAGCCTGCCCTGGGGACCAGTGCCCACCATCTCACAGTCGATGGCCACGTACTTGCCGGGGCGCAGGGGCGGGGGGAGCATCCGCACCCCCTTGGGGCTGCCACTCCCCTGGGACAGCAGCACGGAGTGGTGCCTGGCGACGCTGTCCGGGGACGCAGATGGGGACAGGGACGGGGACACAACCTGCTTGGCTTTGGGGCCCTTCCCGCAGCGGGGTGCTGCTGTGCCATCCGCCTTGGCCATGGTGCTGGGTGCCTCTGGCGCCACGAGGGCGGCCCCCCTGCCCAGCAGCCCCCTCTGCTCCAGCAGCGCCCGGCGCTCCAGGAACCGCTGGTGCTTGCGGCTCTTCTTCTTGCTG